TCTTCGATGAGATGTAAAACTGATTACCCCTAACGACAGTTCTTTAGCTGAACGTAGAATTAATTAACACTCTCAACAGTCATTCTTCGATGAGATGTAAAACTGATTACCCCTAACGACAGTTCTTTAGCTGAACGTTGAATTAATTAACATTCTCACTAGTCATTCTTCGATGAGATGTAAAACTGATTACCCCTAACGACAGTTCTTTAGCTGAACGTAGAATTAATTAATATTTTCAATAGTCATTCTTCGATTAGATGTAAAACTGATTACCCCTAACGACGGTTCTTTAGCTGAACGTTGAATTAATTAACATTCTCACTAGTCATTCTTCGATGAGATGTAAAACTGATTACCCCTAACGACAGTTCTTTAGCTGAAAGTAGAATTAATTAACATTCTCACTAGTCATTCTTCGATTATATGTAAAACTGATTACCCCTAACGACAGTTCTTTAGCTGAACGTTGAATTAATTAACATTCTCACTAGTCTTTATTCGATTAGATGTAAAACTGATTACCCCTAACGACAGTTCTTTAGCTGAAAGTAGAATTAATTAACATTCTCACTAGTCATTCTTCGATTATATGTAAAACTGATTACCCCTAACGACAGTTCTTTAGCTGAACGTTGAATTAATTAACATTCTCACTAGGTTAATTAATTCTACGTTCAGCTAAAGAACTGTCGTTAGGGGTAATCAGTTTTACATCTCATCGAAGAATGACTAGTTGAGACTAGTGAGAATTTTATTCGATTAGATGTAAAACTGATTACCCCTAACGACAGTTCTTTAGCTGAACGTAAAATTAATTAACATTCTCACTAGTCTTTTTTTCGATTAGAATTAACCCTATGACAGTTCTTTAGCTGGACGTAGCTAATCAACAATTGACAGTTCTAATCTAATTCAACGAGTCATATCATTTCGTTTCACGATAACAAACAGTAAATTTTATCATAACGTCACTACACAGTTGTGGTTACTTAGGCTAGAACATTTAGTTTTATTGTTAACTTTGTTGTACGTGATACAACACACATCAAGAGAACACTTGGAGTAATTTGATGGTCTGCAATATGAAATAAAATCGTAGTTTATAGAATTAACTTTTTAAAATGAAATACTTGAAAAGAGACGTTTAATATAAACAAAAAATCGCCACGATTGTAATATTGTATTGTGCACAGAGAACGTAACAAGGGATCCGTGTTCCACGCCTCCGCTTCACGTGCCGAATGTTGCACGTCCATTGTCTCGAGCAGCAACACAAGGACAACCGTTGATGAAGATTATTGCTATTGAACATAAAAAAAGAGAGGAGCACAACGAGCCGATTTTAATTTTCCAAGCACACGAGTCAAACGCGCATTACGTCTTTGACACCCATGTGATAAATTCATCTCGTTAGTAAAATTGTTTGTTTTTTCACCCAAACAAGTCAAAATGAACTAAAAACTTATCTTTTAGTTTTAGCTTTTTAAATATTGATTTGTTTGAGATTCTAAATTTGTGGGATGAACAACTTACAATTTTTCAACGTCATGTTTGAGTCTTCTCCTGACGGTAAACTCATGCTTCGATAAACTTTTAACGTAAGTAATCTTTTCTAAGTACAAAATTTCTAAAATTTTGACAAGACTAAAAATACCCGATAAGTAACGCATTATTAAACTAATTTTCCTTTTCAAGATAGCTTAAATTATTCCTGTAATTATCACAGCCGTGAGTGAAAGATTAAAGCAGTCATACAGAAAAAACTTTACACAAATATTATATTGTATATGTTATATAAAAATCCGTCAGACGATATTCCTTGAATGGACTACAATTCTGTGAGAATGAACAATATACGTGTCACTCAGTAACAACCGTACAATACCGTATAAATTACTTTAAATATCGTTTACACGTCAGGCCGTTCAATATTGTACCTTCTTAACACATGCTTTGCCACAGTGGTTTGTTCTTTTATCGTGAGTTTGAAATTACAAGGAAAAACCATTCTCAGTTTCAACTTTTATTTTCAAAAATTAAAGTCTATAAATGTAAAAACTATTTCTCCAAATCGGAACTGTTTTTTTTTTTTCATTGTGAACACATAAAGGAGGGTTATTTATAATTTTTGATAAACATCTTCACCAAAACTGGAATGGAAACGCACGCCTCCACACTTTAGGGAAACGAAGAAAACCTTCGAATGACATACAACATATTAACAAATGTCATACGATATAAATCATTTTTCTGGTTTCATGAAACACATCAACAACCAATCTATAGTTTTAATCCTTTTATTTAACAAACTTTATTTTACATACAAATATACAGAATAACTATGCAAAATATACCCCAAGAGCCTAACTACAGTCACTTCATGTCTGAGAGTTGTTTCAATATTGAAGTCGATATATTTCTGGTAAATACAAATATAACAACACTGCAGAAGAAACATTTGGTGCACGTTTTCCAAACTTAAAAAAAAGAAAAATTTACGCTCCAGATAATTATAATAAGACTTTTGATTTCAGCCAACGTTTCGCCGTTGCGGCTTCATCGGGGCTAGTAGTAAAAGAACTTGTCGATGTGAAACAATGTCTATTATTATTATTATATAGAGAGTAAAGAACCGTTCATTTCTAACGATATTTCCAAAACACCTAAATTCCTCCAGTACGCACTACAAATTATTCCAAACTTTACCAAATCACTGAAAATCATGAGCAAACAAAGTGCAACACAGATATCAGACCCTCGTTGCTATGAAAACTGTTGGCTTAAAAATAACGATAAATTAGCTGTATTAGGTTTAGTACAATTGTAACACAGATAACTGTTGTCGCTATGGGAACTGCTGGCTTAAAGATAACGATAACTTTGCTGTATTAGATTTTGTACAATTGTAACACAGATAACTGTTGTCGCTATGGGAACTGCTGGCTTAAAGATAACTTAGCTGTATTAGGTTTAGTACAATTGTAACACAGATAACTGTTGTCGCTATGGGAACTGCTGGCTTAAAGATAACGATAACTTAGCTGTATTAGGTTTAGTACAATTGTAACACAGATAACTGTTGTCGCTATGGGAACTGCTGGCTTAAAGATAACGATAACTTAGCTGTATTAGGTTTAGTACAATTGTAACACAGATAACTGTTGTCGCTATGGGAACTGTTGGCTTAAAGGTAAGATCTTTGACCTACAGTAATTACAGTTTTCTTATAAGTGAATATCTTAGTAAACTAATATAAAAATGTTCCTAAGTTGTACCCATGTTATAAAAGGTCAGATCTTTGACCTATCATAAGTAGTGTTCTTGTAAGTGGTTTTTACAGTACACTAATATAAAAATGTTCCTAAGTTGTATCTATGTTCTAAAGGTCAGATATTTGACCTATAGTAGCTAGTGTTCCTGTAAGTGGTTTTTACAATACACTAATATAAAAATGTTCCCAAGTTGTACCTATGTTTTAATAGATCAGATCTTTGACCTATAGTAACTAATGTTCCTGTAAGTGGTTTTTACAGTACACTAATATTAAAATGTTCCCAAGTTGTACCTATGTTCTAAAGATCAGATCTTTGACCTATAGTAACTAATGTTCCTGTAAGTGGTTTTTACAGTAAACTAATATAAAAATGTTCCCAAGTTGTACCCATGTTATAAAAGGTCAGATCTTAGACCTATATTAACTAATGATATTAGTGTACTGTAAAAACCACTTACAGGAAAAATGTTCCCAAGTTGTTCCCATGTTTTAATCTCTGTCATTATTACACAGTCTAATCTAATTCAGCCTATACACTGTGAAGATAGAAATGAAATTTTTTCCTCCATCACTGTTTATTACCATTTATTTGTCCATTGCTCTTGTGGAAGATTATAACACATTCTTGATATTAAATAATTCTGGAACACTACTATCAGTAACACTTTTTTATACTATTACACACGGCATACACTTTCAAGACGGAAATACTCCGAGCACCAAGTGGATAAGCATTCGTATCTAGTACAACTTAGCCAACTAATTGCAATGCTATAATATGTTTTTGACAATATTTTCATTTCATTAGCTACTTATATATACATTCTTCTTAAAGAAATCTTTCCACACAGAATATATTCGAGCCAGCCATTTTGTAAGAAAGGTTTGCAGCCCTATATACAAGAGAATAACATCTCTCAAGTCGTTCGTATGTTATATTTAACAACACATCATACAACTGAACTTACTGTGGCTTGATGAAAAGAAACTACCACAAGCACCTCCTGTGACATTTACAAAATAGATCTGTAACACATAAGTTGCAAGATTCAGAAATATAAAATAATTACAGTTTTCAAAGTCAACAAAGAATGTGACCTCTCTCGCAAAGTCTGAGTTGCCACAGTGGATTGTCCAATATGATCTTTAAAACAAACAAACATAACCTAAGCCTTTCAACAGCAACGGAAACAGTTCTTTTTGAAATATTAACAAGTGCTCGTGGCTTTTTAATTATTATTTTTTAACTATATTCTAGAGGACTCTATAAACTATTAAATTCTGGCAACACACAATCAACCACGTTTATCATCACTGAAAGTTGGAAATAATTCTCCATCGTCAATGATGTATTTCAAATGGTGAAACTGAAAATAATATTTATTGATGTAACTAATCAGTTACATTAATAAAAGAGCTTTTGAAGAAACAAATTTAATCGTCTATAACTTTTAAAATACTACAATTGAAAGGATCTCACAACATTTCACATTATGTGATATTTAAATATATGAATATTATATACATAGTGGATTTACAGTTCATACAAGAATGGTAGGAAAGTGAAGACAGATAAATACTTATGTTTGCTTCTTTTACAGACCAAAAAATAGAAATATTAGTTGGTAATTTCTATTCTTAAAATTGTCAACTTCTCAAAACAACAATACTTAGAAATGAGATGACAGTAAAAACATGTTCAAAAATAAATGCTATTACAGAACCAAAATCTGAGCTTAATTAAAGTCTTCTTTGATGCAAGACTTTACTATATAAAGCACGATAATGATATGTAGAATGTTGTAGCATGATAAGAAATATGTAATCTGAGTGTCCACTAAAGTCAGACTTCATTCACTACAGTTTCTTCTAACCTAAAGCTGGTATTGTAAATTCAAACCTTGGGATGGTAACATTAAGCCTAGATAGTACTGAAAACTTAAAACCTTGAGGTAATAAAATTATCTTCAATCCTAGAGTGGTTCTGAAAGTTTAAAAATTCAGAAAGATACGTCATCATTGACCCTAGACTATTATTGTAAAATCAAAATCTCTGGAAGATACAGTCATCATTGACCCTAGACTAATACTGTAAAATTAAAACCTCTGGAAGATACAGTCATCTTTAACCCTAGCCTATTACTGTAAAATTAAAACCTCTGAAAGATACAAATTGCCTTTATGTCTGCTATTAACACCTAAAAACAATACAGTCCCAGCTGATAAGTAACAATTTATTAATTGAACTGGTATTAGAAAACCATAAACATGCTGGTGTTTAACAGCATGAAACAGTAGAATTGTAAGTAGCACCCGAAGAAGATACTGGTGAAATAAGGTAGCAGGAAACATCCTGGTGTTTAACAGCACAAAACAGTAGAATTGTAAGTAGCACCTGAAGAAGATACTGGTGAAATAAGGTAGCAGGAAACATCATGGTTTGTAACAGAACAAAACAGTAGAATTGTAAGTAGCACCTGAAGAAGTTGCTGGTGAAATAAGGTAGCAGGAAGCATCCTGGTTTGTAACAGAACAAAACAGTAGAATTGTAAGTAGCACCTGAAGAAGTTGCTGGTGAAATAAGGTAGCAGGAAACATCATGGTTTGTAACAGAACAAAACAGTAGAATTGTAAGTAGCACCTGAAGAAGTTGCTGGTGAAATAAGGTAGCAGGAAACATCATGGTTTGTAACAGAACAAAACAGTAGAATTGTAACTGGTACCTGAAAAAGTTACTGGGCAACTTAGGTAGCAAGAAGCATCATTATTTGTAACAGAACTTGTATGCTTGTGACAAGATGGTACATTAAAAAGTTAGCTATCTAGTAGAAAGCAGACTGTCCTCACAATGGCATTACGTAAAAGTTTTGTAGTAATAACTGTCCTAATCATTGACCTTTAAACCACTGCTGATTTTCCAGTTTTATCAAATTTATATTTTGCATTTCCTGCTTCAACATCTAAAAAACTGGAAACCTTTGAAGAATTAGAAATGTACAAACAATAGCAGACGAAAATAAACCAGATGTCAAAAAAGAAAATGCATATCTTTATAGCTCAATTTTACCATACAGTATTTACGTACAATAGTGTTAGTCGGCCAAGTTTAGTTTAAAACTACATACTTTCATACTGTATTTACAGAAGTTCCCACATGTGAAGTGTTAAATGTACTTCTAACGTAGTCACCCAAATGGTAGCCTCAGTGGAACTGTACAATTCTGATATTAAAGAATAAGCTTAAGCAATTACATATATGTACACTGTTGCATTCTTATAAAACAAGAATTATATATTCAGTAGATCAGGAATTCAACCTCACCTTTTACTTCATTACATCAGAAGAGAGTAATGTGACACATGCCTGAAAAATTTTACTTATCTAGAAACAGAAGAGAGTAAATGTGACATATGCCTGATAAAACCTTTACTTATCTAGAAACAGAAGAGAGTAAATGTGACATATGCCTGATAAAACTTATACTAATCTAGAAACAGAAGAGAGTAATGTGACACATGCCTGAAAAATTTTACTTATCTAGAAACAGAAGAAAGTAAATGTGACATATGCCTGATAAAACATTTACTTATCTAGAAACAGAAGAGAGTAATGTGACACATGCCTGATAAATCCTGTACTTATCTAGAAACAGAAGAGTAATGTGACACATGCCTAATAAAACCTTTACATATCTAGAAACAACAAGAAATTTGAGCTTAAACACTAGCTGTGATACTAAGATACAGTGTTAAACAAAGCACACACAAAACACAATGTCTACCATCGTAAGAGTAACAAGTTCACTGTAATTATCGTCATCTCTCATAATACATTTTTTATATGGAAGTTTAGAAAAACCTCATTCAGTAAGATTTAGTTTCCAGAGTGTATCACCATTATTCCACATATGAACAAATTATTGATGAATTACACTTATGAGCTCAGCAAATGAAACGAAGTTCAGATCAAGGATTAAAATAAGTGATGTACACATCTTTATACAGCAAATAACTAACACAGAAACATTTCTGTGAAATACATAAACATTATTAAAATACATTTCCTTGACAGTTAAAAACTTTAATTACTAATTTAAACCAACTGTGATCTCTTAAGGCTTTGAGATTTCAAAAATTATACACAAAAATACGTTGTCTTGAAATCTGTTTAAGAAATTTGGAAGGTTGGGTTTTCTATGTTATCTAAATAAAATCTTGAAATAATATATATATATGATCCAAAAATATAGAAATCCATTAATACATTCTGCTCCTGGTAATAAGAGATTATTAAACTACTACATTATTTCATCTTGCCTACAATCACAAGGTTTTTCAAGAGCTGATAAAAACAAAAAAAACACGTATTTCTTGAAACTTCACATGCAATATATAATATCATTCAAAGTTCAAATATAGAAATTCATACTAGAAACATGAACAGTAACAAGTAAAGACAGAATTAAAAACAAGAATAAAACCTATCATTATAAAACATTTCGTAAATAGAAGTGGTTGTCTGTAACCTGGTTCCTGAAGTGACATAGTAAACTCCACCCTCATCTGTTTATATTTCCAACACAAAATACTCGAACAAATTCATGTAAATACTTTGTCTATACAACACTGATATAAACAACTCGACACCTCACACAGAACTTCATACACGTTCAGTTTAGGGGCAAAGAAAAATCATGTTAAACAGTACCTTGAGACACTGCTAGTTGCCTGTAATACAGCTATCATATAGCTGGCAGTAAAATCTTGTATTACACTTTTGTTTAGCTACAAATACCAGGTTCAAACCACATAACAACTTTGTTGTCTTATGATAACCAGAAAAAGTGGAATCAGTAATGTACATATATATAGATCGGTTGCCTTTAAATCACTAGCGCCACCAGCTTAAAGTGCACAATTTATCAAAACCTAAAAATAAAAAAAGGCATTAAGAATTATTCTTTTTTTTTTCATATGTATGTTCCAAATCATGAGTGATAAATTTAAATGTAACTATATATCGGAGGAAAGAATATAGCTAGAAATATAGGATACTTGTTACTGTAGATATCTTCACTGCATTTATTCATATTAATTACAACTATGTACAAACGTATAAATACTTTGAAAAGTTACTCAAAGTGCTCTCTTTATTTTTTACAACTTTAAATTCTCAATTGGCACTTGAAAGGTGCATGGAGTCCAGCTCAAAATCTTCCTTCAAGAGTAGATCCTGGAATCTAAGTTATCTAATCTAACATGTTTAAGCCAGTAGATCCTGGAATCTAAGTTATCTAATCTAACATGTTTAAGCCAGTAGATCCTGGAATCTAAGTTATCTAATCTAACATGTTTAAGCCAGTAGATCCTGGAATCTAAGTTATCTA